CCTAGAGAAAGCTATATCAGCTAATGAATCATAATCATTGGCCTCAGAAGGAATTCAAACCCTTATTAATTAGGTTTCCAACATAAAAAATTTAGGGTCCCCCCCCAAAATTAGCATTATTCAAGACCCATTTTTCAATCATGGGGTCTGGAATAAATTTGGAAAACATTAGCATTATTGAGGACCTATTTGCTAATCAGGCTCCAACATTATTTTTCTCTTCAGCCCCCATAGGTTTAAAGCAACATGATGCCTTCTGATGAAACAGCTCTGGAGCAACAGATGGCTGAGGCTTTGACTTCAGCTTTTGGCCATCGTCCTCGCAGCTGCAAACCACAACTATTCCGACTTAGACTCAATCAAGGATCGGTGGAGTGTCCTTCATGGGCGGGTACGTTGAACCAACAAGGCTTCGCGCGCAAAGTCTGCAAGCTTGCAGAACGCAGTGTGAGCATAGTTGACCAGTGAAACGAAGTGTGAAACCAGTACAGGTGAAACAGTGAGGTGAAACCTGGATACAACACATTGGGTGACACAGGTGAAGCCTAGATGAAACAGGTGAGACTGTGAGACGGTGAAGGAGGTGAAAACTGTACAACCAAAACGGCGAAGCCTTGTTAGGTGAGACCCGCTCGACAGAACAAGATCTGCTGCCGATCACGCCTGATTTTGTATTCATCCACGGCTTCCACTTTCCCTGACATGCGCGCTTGAGCAGCTGAGACAAAAGATCACATCAAAGCCAGCCATGCAATTATCCAAATGGCCAGCTCTCATATGGGCGTTTTGCGCAAAAAAGGCCCAATTCCCAACTTAGCTCAGGTGTGGCCATCCCAAACCCATCCTATGCTGCTGAGGTTGCTCAACCTTTAGCTGCCACACGTGTTTGTGAAACACAACAACTTCCGCCGGCTCTTTACTATGGCCTTATATGATTATATGCGCACCATGCTTGAACACCAACAGTGCATCCACACAGTTTTTTGGGGTTAATGCGACAGATAGACTTGTCCGCATGCCACTGCATCAAGCCACAAAGAAACTATGAATGATACGACGGCGGTCACTTTTTGGGAGGCCCTTGGCAAGGCAGCAGAAAGGAGAACCAAGAGACGCAGGCTGAACTCCTCCAGCAAGGCACTTGTCCAAAATTTGTGGGTGCGGTGTTTTATAATCATTCCTGCAATTCTCCTTTGTTTCATGACATGCTTTGCACCCGCGGCTGTACTGTACGGGCCCTTGAGCACATGAGGAAAAGCGGCGTGCAACCCGCTTTGTTTTGGTCTTGGGAACCAGGCTCCAATTACGTGTTTTGCTTTGATTGATGTGAACACGACAAAGCGCATTGGTAGCATGGTCTTAGATCCTCTCGTGGATCGCGTGTCTCATGGTGGCTGATGGTGGGGCGACCAAGTCTGCGGAGCAGAACATGCCCCTGACTTGGTGGTTTGGGATCCCAATACATCGCCAACACCACCGCAGAGCCTTTTGGGAAGCTCGGAGGTCCCCGAGAAGCCAAGGCCACAACGGCCCTAGAGCTCCCCACGCAGCGGCCACCAAGGAGCAGGGCGTCTAAGGAAGGCTGCGAAAACCAACAGAAGAAGCCCTTTTTTGGAAACCTTCCACCAGCTCCAAAGTTCGACGGCGGCCGCAAGGTTGACCCATTGTTTCCAAAAGTTCCTGCATCAGAACTTGACTATGAGGGTGGCAGAGCACCTTGACCATGCAGCCCGCCGATGTCGTGACGCTGGCTTGGACATGATACCGGATGCCATTGTTATCCATGTGTTCTCCCACCACGCCGGAGCTAGCAGCTAGCAATGAACGGTAGGCCCGCTACTTTGGTTGGTATTGCCAAAGTGAGAGTTTAGAGGAGAAACATGACCACATGAGCTGTTTGCCACCGTCCTTTCATGTATAGCCACGCATACCGCAGTGGTGGGTCCGAGCTCACACGTGTCGTGCGCCATAGGGTTGATTGCCACCAGTCGGCGACAAATCGAGAAGTGTACCAGGAAGCTTGGTTGTTGGACGTTGCTACAAAGCATTGCTCCTCCCGCATGCTAACGGATCCCCTGGTGGCTCCAGGGGCGTGAGAGAAAGGATGGCTGCAGGAACTTCTGGTGTTCCGACTTGCAATGGTTGCCGGCCCCCGAAACGCAAACGTTGTTTTTCTAACGCGCGGCGAAGTTAGCGCGACGTTATTACCAGGCTCTTGCAAACGTGCCACAAATTTGGAGGTACGGTAAGTAAATCACAGAATTTGTTTTTTTTCGTGTTTGTTGCAAATGGGAAAATGTCGTGTTGTTGCAACCTTGTCAAGTTCCCCCCGATCGCTCAGGAACAGCTTGAGAAGATGGCCAAAAAACACAGATGTGAGCAACATCAGTTGGTGGAGCAAATGCCCGACGACGGACGAGCATAAGTTAAGCGAACGCTTGACAACTATGAGCTTGGCAAGCATGTTGGAGAAGATACCAGCACAGGACCGTCAAACCCATCAGCGCCGCTCATCTTCATATCCATCTTACAGACCACACGCTCAACCGCAGGCAAATTTTTAGCGAGCAGAGACCTGACCCCAGAGCATCATCATCATCATCTGCCTCATGCCCACACCCGAAAGAGAAAGTGATCAGCCAACGCCCAAAGGACAAGACAAACGGAAAGAGAAAGAAACAGGGAAGGGAAAAACCAAGAGAAACAAGATGATGACTATGACACGTGGTGGTTTCGCGACCGATATCATCATGATTGGTATATAGATGACCGCCGGACGTCTATTCATGAAAGCGCAGTTCGCGTGAGCTCCAAACGTAGCCACAAGAGCTTAGAAGACCAACTGAGAGGGACTCCGTGAGCTAGGCCAATTCAATTTTCGACCCGATGAGCAGAGCCAATCTAGTAGTATATGTAAAGCTAGCGCCTTTTCACCAGAATTTGTAACGCAGGGAATCAAGTCTCATTCCTGCGGCGCACCGTGTATAGTATAGTACCAAACAATTACACGATGCTATGTGTACAGATGTGACACTGCAGATGCATGGGAGGCGCCAAAGGGATGGCAACAGGTACAACGTATAACATGACTGTCAAGTTTCACTTGTAAATTTCACACATATACATGTCTTGTCAAGCGTCCAAATGAAGGAAAAGAAGCGCGCGGAGCCTTGCTGAAGCAATAGCGGTGATCGTGTGATTTTCATGATCTCGAGATCCTTGGTTAATGCCCACTCGCAAAAATTATCAAGCTACCCGACCAGCGTGGTTCGAGCGCCTGCAACTGGGACGAAGGAAGAGCAACAGAAGAGGTACACCAGGCTGGCAGCTCCCTGATCTCCTAGAGCCTTCTGTTTCTTGGGATGCTTGGCTCTATGAGGAATGACCCGATCGAGATGGTTGCTGAGTGTGTGAGTCAAGCGACAGCATGTTCATCCCACCGAACATGATAGGACTGACCGCTTGCTCCAAAGCCTGCCTAGAGAACCACAAAAGCGGCGGACGAGAAAAATGAGACAAGGGCAAAGGACGTGGTAAATCTAAATCTAAAAGCAAAGGCGGTGTCGGCCTTACACTCCTTTAAAGCGAAGACGGTGTGCGCCGAGTGCGGACGGACAGTGAAGGACGCCTTTGAGGAGATTGACCCTGGACGAGACGCGACGGATGTGTGGTGACGACTGTGATTGGGTTGGTTTACTTGGAATTTGGCGCCGGTCATTTTTGTGGTTGCTCCATTCGACTGTCAGTGCCTATCGGGATCAGTGGCAAGCCCATGGTCATTCGGACGTCGATGATTGAGGAGGACAGGCGCGCAGATAATCGTTGTGCTGTCTTTGGCCGGCCGGGACTGGTTGGTTTTGATCGGCGCTGCTATCAACATCGGCAACAACAAGATGCTTTTGCCCGAGGACTACCCATACACAGTTTGGCCACCCGACTCTGAACCATAGGGATGCCTGAAGATTCTGCGGCTACATACCTTTCGGCCTCGTGAAGATTCTGCTACACGACTTGTGGCCATCTGAGAGTTTACCTTAAAACATAACTTGGCCACCGGAAGATTCCCTAACAATTATGCTACGTAACTTTTTCGCCTCTTGAAGACTTCCGGAGCGCAGCCAGGACGTAGGAGGGCATAGATCTGTGGGCGTAACCGGACCGCAGGAGGAACGTGGCTTGTTGTGCCAGGCAGATTTCTGGAGCGCTGAGGGTTGTTATCCTTGTTGAAACGCGGTTCAGCACATATATGCCTGGACATCGCAAGGCCAGGTAGTTTTCAAAAGGATTTTTGCGAAGCATCATTTTCCTTGCAAGTGGGGGCCAGATTGCAGCCAGCGTTACTTCGTAACCCTCAAGCCTTGAGGAAAACGGATGTTGACAATTACACCTGTGAGGGAGTGTGCCACTACGGCTCGGGGCCGCACAAACTCCCCTCCCAAGAAGCTTGCGAGGCGACAGCTGGCAACCGTGCACGGCCACTCAAGGACTGATCTTTCCATATTGGTAAAATGGTTTCTGATGGTTCACTCGCTCTTTGGCATTATAATGCTCGCAGACGGGGTTTGCAAGATGTATATATAGATTGGATTGCCCAGGGAGGTTTTCTTTGCCAAATGTTTTCCCAGGAGCAAGGCGTTCCAGAGCTTAAGGGC